TAAAAGGCAACATTAAAAGTATACAATTTGCTTTTCATAGTAAACTACGAAGTTGCAAAACCTTCCATTTTGGTATAGACATTTGACAGTGTGGTCAATGAACTGACTTCTGTTCATTTCAGATTTCAGACCAAGAAGTCAGTTTCCAATAGAACTGGAGAAAAATGGGCTTACAAAACAAAAATGAAAACAATGCTTGCTTGCTCTATTTTAAATACCATGCCGATCAGTAAAGGGACATCGAGAACTGGTGTGAGAAAAGGCTGGCGGCACACTAAGTATCACTAAGGCACTGCTTACTGAACGCTTTGGCAGCTCTGAATTGAAAACTTCCTACAAAAGTTAACAGTAGTAAGAGAAATGCTTCCAGCTTACAAAAGGGCTCACAGTTCCGAGGCAGCCTTCTGCACTGCAAACCCTACACGCAACATCGCAAAGATTTAAGGCTTTTCAGAAATGACATGTGCAGGGTTTTGCCAAAGAAACATCAACAGAAAGAAAGAAGCAATGCAGACGTATCCTCTTAATGTCACAGGTGTGAACACCAACACACAAAATTGGTTCTACCCTTCGTTAGAACAGGTGTAGTGTACCAGAGCATAGACAAAAATCATAGAAGTTATCGGTACCTGGTTTGAAAAGTTGACTGTCATCTTGTGTGATTTAAATAACTTACGTTTGTACAAAAACAAACTGCAAAAGCCACTAGAGTATTGAGACCTAAAGAAGACTTGGGTTTGTAACACCAAGTTCTGGGCACGGGGGCTGTTTTTTGGCTGGTCCGAGCGTGGGACTTTGCTGCTGGGATGCTTTGTGAAGAGAAATTTGACTCAGAGCCTGTGGCAGGTGAACTGTCCTCAGGGTAAGGAAAAGGCTCATCAGCTTTCCTATCTGCTCGCGGATGCCTCCCAGACATGACACTCCAGGGAGAGAAGCAGCGTCACCACCAGGAGATGCTGCTGCTCTGGCAGAGGAAGGGGGTCTTAACCTCCCTCTCTCTTCCGCCCTGAGCACCAGAGAGGAACGACCCCCGCCAAGAGGCCAAGGATTAAGTGTCAGGAGTCCCAGAGCCTTACTCTTAATCTGTCACTGACCAGCTGGGTGACTTTGGGCAAGTCATCTCCCCTCTGCGCCTCAACTTTCTCATCTACAAAATGGAGGTCACAGGCATACCTCGTTTCATTGTGCTTCACAGATACCACAGTTTTTAAAAATTGAAGGTTTGTGGCGACCCTAAGGCAAACGAGTCTACCAGCGTCACTTTCCAATAACATTTGCTCACTTCACGTCTCTGTGTCACATTTTGATAATTCTCGCAATAATTAATAATTGAAGAATAATTCAACTTTTTTATTATTTTCATATTTTTTATGGTGACCTTCAAGTTTCTACTGTAATTGTTCCGGCATTTTTTTGGCAATATTTTTTCATTAAGGTATGTGCACTGATTTTTTTTTTTAGACATAATACTATTGCACACTTAATAGACGACAATATAGGGTAAACATAACTTTTATATGCACCGTGTGACTCGCTTTACTGTGATATTTGCTTTCTTGTGGTGCTCTGGAACTGAGCCCGCGCTAGCTCTGAGGTATGCCTGAAGACTGTGCTTTCCTAAAGCTCAATAAAGGAAAATTCGATCAGCCCTCTTCCGAAATGAATCACTCTCTCCACCATCCTTAAAGATGAAATGTTCCAGAGGTCTCTGTAAATTCTACAAAAAAGCAATGAGTGCAAGGCTAAAAGTAGAAGACCAGAGGAAATGTATTGAAATGATTAAAGGTTTGATAATGAGAACTATAACCTTAGGAGAAATAATAAAAATGGGTGGGATTTTCTTTAACCTGATAAAATAAGCAACGAAGAGCAAATTAGAAATGCTCTTTAAATAGGTGTGAGTTGATTATAGGGATGATGGTGGCCAGCTGTCCCCAACTTTCCCAGGGAGGAAGGAAAGAATACTTGTAGCAGAGAGATTCTGTTGTGAAATAGAAGTTCTGAAACAGGAAGAAACATGGACACAATATCATTTGAGTAATATTCCTACCTGTCTCTTGATGGCCTGAGACAAGGCTCCCAAGAGAGAAGCTTTCTCAGGGTAAAATGGAAGGAGAAAAAAACCCTCAAACATGGCATTTGTGACCTGTCAGATGCAGGGCAGTGGTTCTCAACCAGGGGCAATTCTGTGCCCCACGGCACATTTGGCAATGTCTGGAGACATTTTGGGTTGTGACAACTGGGGAAAGGTGTATCTAGTGGGCAGAGGCTAGGGATGCTGCTAAACCTCCTACAATGCACAGGACAGCCCTGCACCACAGAGAATTATCTGCTCCAAATGTCAACAGTGTCGAGAAAGGGTTGAGAAACCCTGGTCTAGGGTAGCTTAGACGTTCTGGGATTCTAGGACATGTTTTGGAAAAGCCCCAACTTTATTTAGGTCTCTTGCTAAGATGAAAATGAATACCAAGAGACCAAAGCCCAGTTCTTCAGCTTCTCCCTATTTAGGCTGCGGAAAGTGGCCTCTGAACTCTCCAGTGAAAGCACAAGATGTCCCTGAATCGATCCTGGTAGTGGAGGGTCAACCAGGAGATAGAGCACCCAGAAAAGAGCAGTGAGGACAGAGCTTTGGAAAGGCTTCTTTATGGTACAGAAAGCTTTACGAAGGGAGGAGACTCTGCCATAAAGGGTGAAAGACCAAAAACAGACTTGGATTCGATGTTCTAACACAAATCTAATCCCAGGGTCTAATTTGGGAGTGACAGAGAAAGGGCTAAGAGGTTGGACCAGTGGTTAAGACAGGGAGAATATCTGCCCTGGAGAAATCTTTAGAAGGACAAGACAAGAAGTAAACTTGTTTTAAGAGCAAAAAGCCATCCTCAAGTTCATCCATGTAAACCCCCAAACTCAACTACAAAGGCATTCGGAGGAAGAGGCAAGCATCAGAGGGCCCAGCCTAACTCTGTGAGTTCAGCAGACCAGGGTATGCCCTTCTCTGCAGCCAAAAGAACTACCCTCTAGCTGGTGTTCTTGGGTCTCGATCTATTTGCGCTTTGAAAAAAGTAAATCCTCAGAGCCCCCCTGGCAGTACCGAAGAGCCCCATTCCTGGGAGAAAGCGTGAACCAAATACCTCTTGCCCTGAAGTTCTGGGATGGCGTGGCTTTTAGCCACATAAGATCATTTGCGCCCCTTGGTCCTGAGAGACTGGGGGTAACACCTTGAGTAAAGACACAGGAGATGGGAGCCAAAGAAGCATCCCTAAGAGGGGTGACCAAGAGAAGTCATAAATATATGACCAAGGAAGAAGCTTAATGCTTGGGCCGAAGACCAGATAGAAGGGTGGGCCACTAGGGCAATTCTTCAAAGGTCCACCTGGAATCAGGGAACAAACTGTAGTCTCTTTACGTAGGGAAGATACACACCATGCTACTGGCTTATGTAAGGGATGTGTGTTCCAAAAGGGGAAAGTTCTGCGCTCTCTCCTTTGGTCTTCCCAGTGACCAGGGTCATGGGTTTGGGAGAGGTCAGGCTTGGTTCTTCTGTTTGCCCCAGCCACACCCTCATGACCACCAGATACTAATCAATATATAAGCAGGGTCAGAGCAGGTGGTGGGACAGGGAAGTGGGTATGTAGGTTATTTGAATGTGACAGAACAAAGTTTTCATTTTCTGGCTTGACGTAAAAGTCTTGACATGTTTCACAACTTACAAAACATTTTATGTTCTAATAGTGTTAACCTATTCCTGACAATTATAAAAAAACATCACTTTCCTCCAGGAAGTTGGGGAGTATGCCCTGTCCCCTTCCCAATGAAGCACTTATGGAAATAACCCAAGACATGTGGCCACATCAAACAGACTGCCTGGACAATGCTTTGGAATATTTGGGTTGGAAAGTTGAATTCCTCCTAGGAAGAAAACCTCCCAAATGTGCCTGTGTGGAAAGGGCAGAGATAGATAGCTGAGCCTCTTCAACCTCAGTCAAATAAGCATTGTGACTCATCGAGAGATGTCAAGGAAACGCGTGTCCTTAGCGAATACACCTAGATCTACGGACATAGACTGAGAAATACACACGTATCAGCACCTAGAAAACTGAGTGACACTGAATAGATGTTCAATAAATATGTGTTGAATAACTATATATGTATATGTGTATATATGTACACACAAACACACACGTACACATATAGTTACAGCAGGTTAATATTGGATCACCAGAAATAATTTACCCACAGGCTGGTGAGCACGCTTGTGATTTTCTGGGGAGCAGAGATCCTAAAACTGATGAGCCTTTTATGAGTTCGGTTGATGAAATCTCTCCCAGCCACAGGGTTTTCTATAATTTGCAGCTCACAGTGCAGTATTCATGCCAATTTTACATTTTTGTTATTAAATTTCAGTGGTTCAAAGATTTACTCATCTTAATAAAAAATTTGGTTGTCCATATAAAATATAACTGCACACACAAGACTATAAACATTGTAAGTTTAGATTTTCAGTATTTATCTACTTATTGCAAAAAAGAGCCATCTTTTTCATTAAATAATCATCACATTAGTACAATACAATTTTATATTTTTTAAATATACTATATATGTTAAGGATAAGGGGTGAAGTTTTCTTCCTCTGTAATAGCTGTTTCAAGAGTTTAATGGATTAGGAGATTAGTTTTAACCTCGAGGAAAAAAGTACAAATTTGTCTCATTAGGATATTTCTACCAAGCATTTCTTAAGGCTATATTTTAACATTTGGTTTCAAAAAGAAGGAAAAGTTTCATTTAAAAAATAATTTAGTGAATTACATTCTTTCATAACTTCCACCCTAATTTGTTACAAAGATAAGTCTAAAGATTCTTAGTTTTGTGTACTAATTTACATTTATATTTAAAGATTAATTTTACTTGTATCTTAAAACAAGAATTTTATGTTGGAAAAAAAAAAAACACTAAATACATTTGTATAAAGGCTGTAAATGTCCAATGGTAAATGCTCTGTCTTATTTTTTTTTCTACCACAACGAGAAACAGGTCTCTGCAGACAGAGACTTGGGTTCTTAAGGTTCACCTTTCTGAGGAATTGTGGGCTGTGGATCTGAATAACACACAGAAACAACTCGATTTCTCTTTTTACAACTGTACCAGAACTTCACAGCTACAATGAGTATGAACACATGAAAAAATGACTTCACTCAAACAGGATTTAGAAAAGTTGGGGTGACCTCAGGGCCAGGGCAGCACCCCTGTGTGGTGAGGTTTACAGTCAGTCGTTCGATCATGGAGAGAGTGTGTGTGTGTGTGCACATATGTGTGTGTGTATATACAGATATCTATATATATAAATAACCACGGTTAGTCCTTTACAAGCCTGTAAATATGATGCTGTGCTCCATGTTCACTATTTGAGACTTCAAATACACAGGCCATGCACAGGAGAGTTTCTTGTGTATCCCTGTTTGTTACCACCTGTTTAAAAAAAAAAAGTATAAATGGAAAAGAATATGAAGCAGAATGTACAATATATATAGGTATAACTGAATCACTTTGCTGTACAGCAGAAATTAACACACTTTAAATCAACTATATGTCAATAAAATATTTTTTAAAGTATATATATATATATATATATATATATGTATATCAAACACCACATGAATGAAAACATATTCCATCTGTGCCATGATGACTACAATTTACTTGGAGAGGAATATGGAGTCCAGTGTTCAAAAAGTGGATTGTTCAGAGATCTGCCCAGCCTCCCTCCGCCCCCTCCAGCAAAAACTCAGGATATTACAGGTCTGACTTAAATCCTATTTAAGCTTAGTTACCATATGTAAGAAAGACCTTACAGATTGAGTCTCACTCAGAGAGCCTAAGAAGACACACAAGAATTAGTGTGGGGTTTTTGTTTTGTTTTGTTTTCTTGGGGGGTGGTGGTGCAATTTTTTTTTTACAACACAGAGAATTTTCTATAATTCAGTTCCATGGGACAGTCATTTATCCTAGGGACCGTCTCCTATCTTATTCCTAAACCTCTACTAAATTTTGTTTCACGATAGCCAATGGGAGACATAAACTCTGTGAGTGCCTTGCTCACCACTGTATTAACATGCAGTGCCTGGACTCAGTGAAATATACGCGGAGTAAAAGAACAGTCACACAGTTCAAACCCATGTTGTTCAAGGGTCCACTGTATTCGCTGAATGGATGGAAATTCACAGAATAATAGCCACCATCTGTTCAGTGCTTACTATGCACCTCCTCAGTATTAAATGCTTTACAGAAAGTATCTCGTATAATATTACAACAACTCTAGGAGCAGGTGCGATATCACTCCCTCTTTGACAAGGGAGGATGCTTGGGGTTGATTTGTTTAAGGTTATACTAACGTCAACGAAAAACCCAGATCTTCTGGACCTGAAGACCTTTTTCTTACCCGTTACGCCATGCTGCTCTAGACAAATGCATTGATACAGTGATGAATCATCTAATTTTTTTTTTCTGGGTAACAAAGTTTTTTTCCAGTACTGGTGCCCACCTGTTTTCTAGTCTCATTCCCTGCCACTCCCTTGCAGATCAAATACTCCAAGTATGCAAGTCTTCCAACCCTGAAATCTTTCTCTCCCTCATCCCTATATCCAAACAAATGCCGTGTCCCGCTGCTTTTACCTCCTGAAGAGTTCTTGAATCCATCTCCCTTTTCCCCTGCCACAGCCCAAGGCACCAGCAAAGCTGACCTGGACTCCTCCACCAGCAGCCACCCTTGCCGGGCACCATTCTCACCTGTGCACAGTAGTCACCGTAACCTTGAAAGAAATATGAATCGGACAACAACACACTCCTGCTTAAAAACTGAATGGCCTCTTTTAAACTTTAGGATGAAGAGAAAACCTGTTCTCATCCAACAAGGATGAGAGTGAGCGGCCCATTCTGGCCAGTCCTACCCGGCCAGCCGCACTGCTCTGTTTCCAGTCCTCCTGCTACCACATTCCCACCTACGTGCAGTATTCTTCCCTACCCTCTCTGCCTCTCTATCCATCTGGAGACACCTCTCAATTGTTTCTTCCTCAGGGAAGCATTCCCTGACCTCCTACTACACGTTCTCTTGTCACCATGCACCGACCTCTACCAGCCGTCAGCCACAGGTGAATTACACGCATTTTGTGACTCCCTGTCCTTGATGAATGCCTGCCTCCCTCACCAGACCCCGGGATGCCTGGTCCCGCCTGTCTAGTTCACCACAGCCCTGTAGCTGCCACGTCAGTATGCACCCACCGAACGGGCCTTTTCTTGGTAAATCTGAAAAATACCTGCTTGTCCATCAGGCAACTTAAACGTCATCTTTTAACATCCCTGAGAACCCCCACCTCCTTCCAAGTACAGGGGCCTCTGCTCAGGCACTTCAACTGCCCTGTGCTCCCATGATGTCTGTTTCACAAGTTTACTGCAGCCATGATGGCCTTGCATCGTCATCATCTATTTACCCACCCCGTTCTCCCTACAAGGCCCAGATTTCCTGTGTTTTATTTGCACTGTATTTCAGCAGCTAGTACAACCTTTCCATAACTTAGCCGAATCAATGCAAACGTTCTCAATAACCTTTGAGGGAGAGAGGGCAGACTTGAGCACTCTGTTTGTAAACGGAGGTAACTGAAGTCTGGAGACTTTAAATGTCTTACCCAAGGTCATAAAGTAGAGTTGAGTCCTAAACCCAAGTCTTCTCATTCCATGACCATGACATCCTGCAAAGTGTCTTTTCCATCAGTTCAAATCTTAATTTACGTCTATCACTGGCTCTGTGACCTCAGGAAGGACTAACATTCCTTATCCATAAAATAGGGATAAAAATGACTTAACAGTTCTGCAGTGAGAATTTCATAATATATCTACAAAAGATTCAGGCACTGTGCCTGGAACCTCTATGATCTATTTTACCTTCCTGCAGACTTTCTATGAAAGACTATATCCTATTTAGGCTTCATGCTTGAGATGAAGGAGGAAGGAAAAAAAATGTTTCTAGCAACCTGTATGTCTGAACATGACCTCAAATGATGATCGAAATCCTTGGCCCACAATTCAGTCGCTGTCTTCCTCAGTCTGATTGCCACCATTAAGGCCCCAAACCTACAGGGTCACCTCAATTCCTGAATCATTCTGACGAAACCAGAGTCTAGCCCACCAGCCAGTAAGGCCTGGAACTGGCCGTGGTGACACAGGTTTTGTATCTAATGTTCCTAGTAAAACACCTGCAACTGTGTCCAGCAACTGTCATTCTGGCCATGTCCCTACACCTGAGGAAGTGCTGAAAAGTATGATCTCTCCTGTTTATCAGTGAGATGACTTCATTTTCATTGCCCAGGAGTGCTGGCTTAATTTCAGTTTTTCTACAGAAAACTATTATTTCTAGCAAATATTTATTTGCTACTAATTCTATATTTATTTGCTTCTGATTCTTCGTATCAAAGGGATGTATATAGTTGCTTAATGATACGTTTTAAAATTAATTTAACCTGGTAAGTTAAATGGATGGCAGTCATGTGTTCCAAGGGAGCATTACTGATATAGTTACACGGGTTTTGTGGGTAATAGATACTTACAACTTTCCCTGATCAAATTTATCTTGGCTGTGCCGTGAAGTCGGGTTTTAGGGACTGAGGACATATTCCTTAACGTGCTGAAACAGCCTCCCTGGTTTGTAAGAAACATCTAAGACTCCCTCCAGAAGAGGGGGGGTGGCCATCCACTCAGAGAGTTTTGGTTAATTTCTGAGGCAACTGAACGTCCACACCAGGACGCCACACACACCTTCCGGTCATCTGAGCACTAAGGTGATCCATCTGTTCTTAAATAGCAACAAAGAACATCTATATGACAAGTACCTGCCAGCACCCCAAACCTTGAACTGCTCAATTTTCACCAAAGACCGTTAGAAAAAGGATACTAATGAATAGTTATAATATGTTTTCCAAACTTTCTCCTGGACTGCTAGTTTCCAAGTTTCAGAGGGACATGGCCACATAAGAGAATCCAGAGATTCTCTCCTTGGAATAAATGAAAATTAGATGTAAAATTATCTGTCTGCCAATTGTATACCCATAATCACGTGTCTGTGAACTCTGAGGCTCCCTGTGGCTCACTTAACCAATCCCCTATAGCAGTGGGTCTCAACCTGGCTACACACCAGAACTACCTGCGGAGCAGTAAAAATAAACAAAAACTATGATTCTGGGTCCCATCTTTCAGAATTTTTAAAAGCTTCCTGGATGAATATCTTGGTATGCAGAAGGTTTTTAATTTCTTGATTTTTATTTATCTTTTTTTTTTTTTTTTTTTACAGTGGCATACAAGAGCTGGCTCCTACTAGCTCTGAAAGTTATTGTTAAATATGAAGGAATTTCGTGGGCTGGACAAATATTGGTAGCTTGAAATTGCCCATGGAAGCTGTATTTGCAACAATGGAAATGGGCAAAAGCTATGGATCAGGGTTTTGGAAGGAACTAGGGGAGAGCCTTATTTTATTTTATTTTTTTTTAAACCAGCACATCACTGATTGAGAATCACTGTCCCACTGAATCCAAAAAGGCCAGGTAAAGAGTTCTTGCTCTAAGTATTCTAGTTCTTAAACCTGGTAACAAAGAAGAACAAAACAGGCCTTCAGAGGGCTGAATATTTGACCACAATATTGTCCTGCTGCCCCTTTTTGCAAAATTGTTTCCACCAAATTTTGTTTTGGCATTTTGCCTTTGGTTTAATCAAGGAATGTTATTTTTTAAAAATTCGCTTTATGAAATCCGTTACCGCATATTTTATAGGTATATTTTGAGAGGAGCACTGTACTTATTAACCTTCCTAAGTAACCAAATGAAGTCCCTGTGAGAAACTGTTTTAAAGTTAAATTTAGGGGGATAAAAAACACACCAAGCATTGCCCGGGGAACCAGAAAATTTTCCCATCATGGGCCTTGAGCACCATTGCTTTTTCCTTGCCCTTTAGCTGCCCATTAAGTTTGACCATACTTTTCAGCCCATAAATATTCTCCCCCCGCTCCTGGTTATGCCACTCACTGTATTCTAGTTTACATTTCTCCTGGTACTGAGGGTTTATACTTTGCTATGTTAATGTATGTTACTTATAATAATAAGGCCTTGTAAATCCTTCATGAAATGAGTCTAGGTATGTTTGAAGCACAAACCTGCTGACTCAGCTTTTGCCTCATTTATGATTTGTATACCACGGTGCTGTGAGACTCACACTTAGCTAATACTGGAATTACCCAGGGAACCTTAGAAAACCTTAGAAAATACACATGCCCGGGCCCTATCCTCAGAGATCCTGATTTAATTGACCTAGGATGCAGCCCTGCTATCGGGATTTTTACATATTCTCCAGGTCTTGCTAATGTGCAGCCAGAATTAAGAATCCAGTTGTATCACCCTCACTCTCCCTTCCCAAATTCCAGTTCTGCTAAGCTTAGAAAGCCCGGCCAGGTGAGACCCCTTTCTCTTCCACAAACTTGAGCCAAACCAAGTTTGCCCTATGGATGTGTGAATTCAACTACTGATTGACCACCTGGGGCCCAGCCCCACAGTCTAGTCAGTTACCCTTGGCCCAAGCCCCAGCATCTCCCAGGCCCATCTTCCCCACCAGCCTCATGGCTGAGTCTGACAAAACATGAAAGAGACAAACAGTTACCAATAAAATTGTGAAGTTTTCCAAAACACTGTTCATCATATATTTCTCTGGTAAGTGTTTGAGCTTGTGGATGAAATTGATCATATATTCACACATCGGGGAGCGGTTTATTCGGTATACAAATCGGCCATTCTCAAACCTTGCATATTCCGTCTGTGAGGGAAAAAGGATTTGAGCATTTTTATACCTTTGACTTCAAAATACATAAAAAAGATATTATTGCCTGTAAAAGCATTTTACGTTTTCAACATGAATCACCTGCTATATGCTGCGCTACTTACGTAGTTTACTTCATTAAAAAAAAATCCTATCTCCAAACTTAACACCATACTCAGAATCCATTATTTTTCTGGAAATTTTTTTTTTTAAACTTGGGAAGATGACAGCTTTAAAGAAAAGTTGTATAGATGCTTTTCAGCAAAGGTTAGAAAAAAATATAACTGCCTGCTTAGTGATTCTCTACCTCGAGATCTGTGAGGGCAAGCCCAGCCAGTCACAATTCTTCAAAGGGCCCATAGAAAATCCTTCTTTACTGTGACAAGGCCTCACAGGCCAACAACCAATGCAGCTAATTTCTCTTCTTTAGGAAAAACTACTTCACACTGATCATAAGCCCCTGGCTGTGTTATGTCTTTAATTTTTTCAAAAAAGGGGTTTTTAAAAAATATATACATGCAGTTTGAAGATCCCACTGAAGCACTTAGAAATAAGAGAGACACTCTTAGATACTCTGGATCAAAGAGGAATTTAAAAAGAAATTACAAGCTATCTAAAGCGTAATGAAAAAGAAAATATTTACATCAAACTTTTGGGACTCGATGAAGCTATACTTGCAGGAAAGCAGCTTCATGTCTTCATCATTAAAGATGAAAAGTTATAGAACTTAGTACACATCTTAAAAAATTAATAAACCTTACAAAATAAACCAAAACCAGTGAAAACCAGGAATAGGAAATTAATAAAGATAAAAGCTCAAATCAATACAAAGGAAATTTCTTTTAAGATTTTTTTTTTGTTTTGATGTGGACCTTTTTTTTTTTTTAAGTCTTTATTGAATCTGTTACAATATTCTTTCTGTTTTATGGTTTTTGATTTTTTGGACACGAAGCATGTGGGATTCCAGTTCCCTGACCAGGGATCGAACCCGCACCCCCTGCATTGGAAGGTGAAGTCGTAACCACTGGACTGCCAGGGAAGTCCCGCAAAGGAAATTTAAAATGTAGACAGGATATAAGAACTAGTTCTTTAAAAAGACAAAATAAAATAAATAAACCCTTCACAATCTTAAGAAGGAGAAGAAAGAAAAGAGACAAAACCACAATTACATTATTGTTCAGAAGATTTAGAGGAGGTTACTTTATGTAACTCTTTGGCAAACAACCAATCAACCAACCAATCAATCAATAAAAGCAAAGGAAAACCTAGAGGACAGGATGATTTCCCAGCAAAATACAAATTGCTAATACTGAACCAAAAAGAAGTAGAAAACTCCAATAGGTCAATTACTGTGGAAATGACTAAAAACTATTTAGAAATCTACCACTGAAAAAGGTCCAAAGACCAAATGGTTTCACAGCTAAGTTTTATATAACCTTTAAAGAACAGTTATTTTCAATGTTATTCAAACTGCTATACCATAGAAAAAGATAGGTATTCCAATTATTTTTATGAAATTGATGTATATTCAATACCAAAAGTTGATAGTTTATAAAAAAGAAAAGTATAGATTAATATCACTTATGAGGTGCAAACATTTTACATAAAATAGCAAACAATGCATCAAAGTATCCAAAGTAGAACCTTCTTCAGGAATGCTGTGGTGGTTCATACACAGGACATGTGTTAACTCATGATGTCAACAAATTGGAGAAAAATCACATAGTAAGAGTTGCTGAAAAGGCATCTGATAAAATATTGCAGCTACTACTAATAAAAAAATTTAAGTAAAATAGGAATAGAAAGAATTTCAATATAAAATAAAGACTATTTATAAAAACCAATAATAAGTTTAATCCCAAACGTCAAAACATCAAAACTATTTCTACTGACATCAGTAACCATACAAGGATACTCACCATCACTATTTCTTTTATTTCTTTTTACAACTGTGTTGGAAGTTTTAGCAAATGAAGAGAAGGTGAGAAAATAATAATAGTAATAATAATAAAAGTGGCATGAACATTGGAAACGAGGAGATAAAATAGTCTTCTCTTTTTGCTGCTGCTAAGATAATACAACAGAGAAAACCCATGAATCTAGGGGGCAAAACCCGCTGTAGATAGATAAGAGAATACAGTAAGATGGCCAAATAGAATATAGATATGCAAAAACTAGGACCTTTCTTCTATTCTAGTAATTAAAATCTGGAAACTGGAAAAACTGTATTAACAAATTATATAATATTTAGAGATATATTTAACAAGAAAGGGATAAACCTATATATGAAAACTAAAATCTTATTAAAATAGATAAAATGAGATAGAAATGCAAATAGGTTCTTGATTGGAAAGATTTAATATCAATAACATATCAATCTGTCCCCAGATAATATTTAAATCTAATGCAATTACAATTAGATTGCTCAGGACTTCCCTGGCAGTCCAGTGGTTAAGACTCCACACTTCCACTGCAGGGGGTGCGGGAAGATCCTATATGCCGCGGCCAAAAAACAAAACCCCAAAAAACGATTAGGTTGCTCAAACAAGATTTTTGTTTCTCTTTACATTTTTATTTTTATTTATTTATTTATATTATTATTTTTTGAGGTACGCAGGCCTCTCACTGTTGTGGCCTCTCCCGCTGCGGAGCACAGGCTCCGGACGCGCAGGCTCACCGGCCATGGCTCACGGGCCCAGCCGCTCCGCGGCATGTGGGATCCTCCCGGACCGGGGCACGATCCCGCGTCCCCTGCATCGGCAGGCAGACTCTCAACCACTGCGCCACCAGGGCAGCCCATTCTTTACATTTTTAAAATGCTCTCATAGTTTGGAAGAATAAATGCTGGCTACCTGCCTAGAAAATATATGAAAAAGAAGAGCAGTGAGATTGACTTGCCCCAGCAGATATTAGAACATGCTATAAAGCCACTGTAATCAAATCAACACAATACTGGGACATGTAGAGATAAATAGAGGGTGGAATAGAACAGACCCCAGGAACAGCACCCAGTATATGCAGTAACTTAAAGGGGACAGATCCACTCAGTTGGAAAATAAATGATTTAATAAATGACTTTGACACAAATGCCTATCTATTTGGAAGAAAATATAAGCAGACTCCCATTTCACACCAAATGCAGAAACATACTCCAAGTAGATTAAAGGCTTAATTACAAAACTCCACCTGCCACACCACAGCACGTTCTCCATGAAAATGCCTGGGATTTCATCAGTCGAAGACAACCTTTCCCTGTTCCCTGAACTTATAAGGAGATTTGGGTATGTTAGCTGAGGATGAACTGAAGAATAGTTTGACATCTGGGAAACGGAGTTACTTATCTGGTTCACTGTTTCTCACAGGTACCTGTCCAGGCAGGAAGTCCATCTACAGGTAAGCCCTGACAACTTGGCCATTTGGTAGCAACAGTTACACTAACCTTCCGTGCTCCCAACCACCAGCAGGTACCTTTGCTTCCTCCTTCTCAGGGGAGATGGAGGTCATGTGGCTCCAGGTCTCCCAGCTGTGTCTCATTACACAGCCACATTCTCACCCACCCTCTCCTTGGACTTCCCAGACACTGCCTTGAGCTGGTTTCCCCCCTCCCTCACCCTTCTTTGTCCTCGGCTTCTCTGTTCATGTCTCCCTTTCCACCTACCCTAGGTCTGGCTGCCACTCTCCAAACTTAATCTTGATCCCTATTTTCCTTGCTATTCCCTCTCTGCAGCTAGCTCTCCATTCCCACAGCTTTGATTATCCTTAATGCTCAGGATTCTCAATTGATATTTTCAGTCTTTACCTGTCTCCCAAATCCTAGTGTTGCAGCTATATTCGTCCCTGACTATTTCCAGTTGAACATCTTATTTACTTATCTCTGCTGGTGGCTACACTGTCCTCCTAAACATAAAACATGTGATCTTTGACTCTTCCTCCTCTTTAATATTTAATATCCAGTCAGTTTCTAAGTACCATTCAAAATGTCTTCCTGAATTCCCACTACCACCCTTTTAGTAAAGCTCATGACACCTAAGTTTACGGCTACCATCTAGTCAACTCACTTACATCCTCCTCTACCAGCATAACCCTCCTTAACACCATTCTCAGGATGCCCATCCTGTGCTCGGGAAGCTATGAGGGCCTGCAGCATCCCAAATCTGCCTTGTTCAGCCCAAAGTCTTGAAAAACATCTCCTGTTCCCTCTCTCCACCCAATGCATCCTCTCTCTCACGCCTCAACACAAAGTCAGGTTGGGCTCCTGGACCTGAGAGGTCCTGGACATCTGTGAATAAACACCACTCACTGAGCATGGATGAATTGGGTGATGGGTAGAAGACAATGGAAAGCACAACTCTAAATGAAATCACCTGCAAACATTATTCACAAAAAGCAACCCACCCCAGTAAAATGAACATCCATTTTTTGAAGGGGAGGGAGGCATGAACTATAAAGGCCATAAATAGGTTTTTGGTCTCAGTATGTACTGAAATATATTTAAAACAATTAAGATGAAGGGAGTGGAAATGGCAAAAGCAAAAACCAAACTCAAGGCATCAGGGTTTTAGAAGGCAGGTGCCAATCAGCTGAGGACCACCTTGGTTGTTATCAAGATGCCTGGAAGTGCCCTTGAACCTGGAACCTGGGGTGGGAGGGGTACCATCTACTGGGCAGCAGGGTCTATCTCTAACAGATTCCATATCAGCCCCCCCTCCATCCCCCCATCCCAAGGCCACCTGCAGGACTGACACACTGGCAAGCACAGGGCTGACTTCAGACAGTCGGAGGGCTGGTATGGGATGACTCCTGGCCTTCTTTCTTTCAGTTGCTTTCAAATCATTTTGCCTTCTTAGAAGTAATGGGTTGGGGGGGGGGGTAGGAGTGGGAGGGGAAGGAGAAGATACCAGAAAAATAAAATCCTCTGCCCCAGTTTAGTTTTAAGGCGACAGGCCGCCCTGGATGAAGGTTCCAGCATACAGAGGCCAACTTACCTCTACTTTTTCTACTACTTGCTTCCCAAAGGAGCAAACTTTGGTGGAACAGGTGACTGTCATATTCTCAGAACTCTCATACTGACTGGTCACGCCGTAAAAAGCCCCGGCATCATCTTGAATACTGCAGTTTAAATCCGCCTGTTGGAAATGAGATGGAGGTGGGGATTACTCTCTCATCGCAGGAGTCAAAGCAGTAACCATCCGGGTAAGACCTCCACCATGCTGGCTGGAGGGCAGTAGAGGGCTGGCGTGGCTCAGAGAGGTGGTGAGGTGACGCCCCGCTAGAAACAAGTTCTATGGCTCATCGGCTATTTTTTGAAGAGAATGCTAGTTTGGGCAGTCTTCCCTTGAAATAATGACATGCTATATGTATGTTTCATTTTACTTTCTTGTATTCAGTATAGAATACTATATATCCTTGTAATAAGACATTCGTGAGGTCTCTGAAACATGTGCAGAATGCAGTATATGAATTGTATTCATATTCACTAATCTGTAGATATAATTAAAAGAACAGGAGAATCTGTAGCTGACTGGCCATTTGTTATATAAGTAAAAACAGATACCTCATTAACAAATTACAGCACCCAGAGGGGAGATGGTTCCTACTAAAGACTGGCTTACAAAGATGCAAAATAATTAATACAAGTTCCCACTCATTTAACGTATTTATGATTACTTAGTGAGGCTCATGCTAGAAACAATACAGGACTACAAGCCAATATGGGATGTACAGAAAATAGCTTTAATTTAGATAGAAAATAAGTACCATGTCAAAGGTAGTTTGGACAATGGAAGCATTATTTTCAATTAAGGGTATTTACTTTCAGGATGGTTAAGATTTGAACATGCAGAGAAGGGCTGAGAGAACGCTTGCACAGAAGCAGCCTGGAGTGCTTCATTCTAGCTACACCGTGAGGACTAAGGAGACAGGGAGGAATGAGTTTGGAAATGCCACAAGGGCCCAGGTAGAGGAGGACTAAGTAGGGGTATGGGTTGTATCCTGCAGGAAATGGGGACCTATTGAAAGTGTTGACACAAGGCAGTGAGGTGATCAGAGCTGAGCTTCAAGGAGAAGTGTCTCAGAGTGGTATAATGTTCACTGCAGAGGGAGGCTGGGAGGCTGCTTCAGCGGCTAGATCACTGACGGACAGTCCCCTTCCCTCAAATATCTACTGACCCTTTCCTGCACACTAGGCACTGGGTGTGGAGCTGGGGATCAACGAGTCCACACAGCTTAAGATTTAGGAGTGGGGACATCGCAACAGTAATAAGCACTCCTGAGATGGGCACAGAGACATGAGAACAAACAGTGCGGAGGGAGCCCCTGGGGTCAGGGGAGCTTCTGATGATGACGCAGCTCAGATGCAAAGAGAGAAGCGCTGGCATGGGTCGGTGGATCATGCTGTAAGAGAGAGTGTATGAAGGGCGCTCGGCCAGAAACAAGGCTGGAACAGAGAGAGCAAGGAGAGAGGGTAGCTGGGGAGGTGGGGGTGTGCGGAGGGGTGCGGGGGAGGGTCTTACATCCTAAAACCAAGGGACATACGAGTTTTAAGTACATAGGATAGGGCCAGTGACAGTTTAGGATCAGATCTGCAATCCAGAAAGGCACCCCTGACCACAGCTTGGAGACTTGAGAAGAGAGTGAGAATGGATGAGTGAGGTGTGTCAGGAGGCCTGGAAGAAGTTCCAGATGAGGCATGGTACTTGGGCTACTAGGGTGACTGCAGAGAAAGAGAGGGGGATCTGACATACAACGAGACTGTATCTTGCAAGGTGTGGCACGTTTTGGCTAGCTTATTTTAATACCTTGACAGGTACTAACCGCCATGAAGACCTGAGTCAGCCTATATATATTTTTAATAAGGATCTGCATTTCAATTTCCCTCTTGAATTGGGTATCAGGAAAATCTCCGTTTTCTTAGGCAAAACTTCGGATATGCTGGCTTCAAATAAAAGGACAATATACTTTATATTCCCTTTTCTTATGTGCCAAGAAATTCAAAGTTAAATTAAGTGTTCAACTATAGTCATTAACTTATTCTAGGCACTTCTGATAACTACTAACAACCAGTGTCCAGCTCCTGTTATGGGATTCCAATCTACTTTTACTTGTACTTGTCCAGTTTTACATTATCCATAAATTTAGTATTGCTCCCTCACATTTTGTTTTTTGGAATTTTATGGGGCATAAATTGCAAATAATTAAAAATGCCCAGGTGTGCCTTTTGCTCACATTCAAACGTTCGACATTTAGCTCCATGAGAGAGCAGTTTAGCGGGGAATGATGGAGGTCTTACCCTGAGATCTGTATCTCAGCTCCTTAAGGCTGAAGAGAGGCCCGTGAGTCTACGTGGGCTCCAACCTCCAGTACAGAAAGATACCAGTGTATCCTAGGCACACAGGAGCTCTGACACTGGGTTGTCATCCAGCCTTCCAGGGCGGGTATCACCTGCTGTGAACTAAGAGAGGGCCTTTCAGAACTTGGAGCGGGTCCTGCCACCAGCTGAGAACACAGAGCTCCCAGAAGTGGCTCAGGTGTTTTGCGGGGGTGGGATGACCAGTGATGTTCTTTGTGGGATTGATGCTCTTACTATTATGATGTAGTTTGTGCCAACAAGGTTTAACTTAAAAAAAAAAAAAAAAAGTAAAAATATGCATGTGGTAAGGAAAAAAAAGAAATCAAACTGTAAAAAGGATGTACGTTGTATTTCTACCCTGAACTTGCCAACCTCCCTAGATGAGCAGTGTTACCTATTTCTCAAGTGTCCTTTTAGAGATATTTAGCATTTAGATATTCAAACATACACATTCCCTCTTTTCTGCACAAACTGTAGCATTCTTCTAAACCTGGCTATAAATAAATAAATACTTCTTAGAATTCACATAGTACTGATATAGAATACCAGTTTTTAAAAGAACAGCCCTTTAAAAAACTGAACAGCCACACTTTTTGGTGGCTGCATATTATTCCATTATACAGATGCACCATAATTTAACATGTGCTCTACTGATGAATATTTAGAATGCTTCCCAACAACAGTGCAATAATAAGTTAAGTGGAACAGGAAAGGTCCATTAGAAATTACTTTTACTTTGTTTACATTCAATTTTAAAAAATTCCCTGCTTTGAAAATGAGAATTAATGGGCCATAAGTACACTGTTAACTAATACTGCAATTTAAACAAACTCATTTTGATGTAATCAAGTTGTTGTGAAGGACTGGTGAACAATCAAAAACCGTCTGGTGTTTGTGGTGTAAGGGATGGAGTGTGGGAAGGAGCACAGGGAAATTAGCAATGTGCAGGGGAGTCAACAGGAGAGCACATGGGATTGGGTTACTTTTTAAAAACTATCAACTTCAAATTACATCAACTTAACCAGGAGGGAGGTTTCTTAAGAACTGCACCTCAACTCCCTAGGCACAATGTTTTCTTTTCTTTCAATGCTCCATTTTTCACTTTATTTACTTCAGTGGCAGTGTTTTTTTATATACAATTTTTAAGGGTTACATTCCATTTACAGTTATTACAAAATATTGGCTACACTTCTGTGTTGTACAGTACATCCTCGAGCCTATCTTACTTATACCCAATAGTTTGTACCTCCCACTCTGCCACCACTATATTGCCCCCCCCTGCCCCCATACTGGTAACCACTAGTTTGTTCTCTGTATCTCTACAATATATTTTGTTATATTCACTAGTTTGTTGTATTTTTTAGATTCCACATATAAGCGATATCATACAGTATTTATCTTTTTGTCTGACTTATTTCACTTAGCATAATGCAGTGGCAGTATTTTTGACAAGCAAAAGATTTACAATGTAAACAAACTACGAGTCTTAAAATCTAAAGCAAGCATAGAAATATACAAAATAATCCATACAAACATACAAATTCAAAATGTTACCCAAGTTTATAATGGCATTCACCATAATTTGATGTTAGCAAAACTGCAGAAAATTTTCACAGCTTTTACGTTTCCACCTCTATGAGTTTCCACGCTTAAGTAATACTGGTGCTATAGCAGCGGCACACCTAGTAGATTTGACAGTTGAGTGGGTCATCTTTAAGACCCCCTTCCTTTGACAAAATTGTCTTCAGTAATCATCAGCACCGTTTCACCGTTTTAAACTTTAAACACAGAAACTCTGAAAGTGGTAACAGAGAACGAAGTAACTCTAGTTCTACTTTTTCGTCTTCATAACTACCGTGCCCATTTCCAAATCACAGAAGCAGTAGCACTGTGTGGACTGCAGCTCCAACGATTCCAAACTGTTAGAACTTACTCTAGAATATAAGACTGAGTCTTTAATCACATGTGTTATTAAAGAATAAGTAACATAATGGATAAGCAATATAAGTGTGCTGGTTTGAAGCATATATATATATGTGTGTGTCTATACATATATACGAAATAAAATATATATGAAATATATATATATACGAAATAAAAGCCCAACACTAATTTTACCAGTTGTTTAAGGTTTAGGCCAACAAAGGATTTTTTCTTTTTGAGGAATATTTTATTGATAGCATTGTTTAGAACTGTGGGCACAGTGTGGTAATAAAAATGACAACCATTTTTAGATGGTTTTGCCAGATAAACTTCTCTGCAATGAACCTCCTTAATGCCTGCACCTGGGGCAGACCATGCCCACCCTCTCACCTTTGGTTCACCACTGTCCCTTAGAATTCCCTAAATAATTTAATTAGTTTTAATTCGGAATGGATGACCCATAGGTACAATGTCGGGAAGTATCAAAAATGAAGGTATTCAAGAATTCACATTATGAAACTCCACCATCTGAAACAATCTCAACAAAGTATGAGTTTTAAAGTTGTTAGGATTAACTTTTTTACATAAAATTAAAGTAGAACATACATTCAGAGAAGTGTACAAATCACAAGTTTACAGACTGATTAACTTTTATAAAGTGAACACACCCATGTAACCAGCACCCAGACGAGGAAATAGAACAGAAGCCCCCTCATCCATGCTCCCTTTCAGTACAATCAAACGCCCCATGTCACAAGAGTAACCTTCAGCCTAAAATACTGTACGTTAATCTTGTCTGGTTTTGTGAACGTTTCACGAGTGGAATCACACAGTGCTGATTCCTCTGTGTTTAGT